AAAAAAAAAAAAAAAACCTCACTTGCAAGGAATCAGGGCATATGGGACTTTTGAGCATTAGCTCCCCATTCTCCTGGGTAGCTCCACACCGATAAATGAGCCTATCTCACTTCATGGCAAAAGCTCGGTGTCAGTTTTTTCATTGGCTTGCAGGGCATCTGGTGGACAAACTCTGCTTTGGTTTGGTTACAGACATTTCATGAGGGCAAAGGCTGCAGCGTCTCCCACCTCTGAGTCCCCAGCTTATACCTGCTCAGGGAGCCTTCCCTGCCCCAGCAGAAACTCCAGAGTAGAGACCGGTGAGGCGGCCCCTGGCCAGGCTACCCCTCACAGGGCTCCAGACTTCTGCCCGGACTCCGGCTCCAGAGGCCAGGCCCCCGGACTCACTTGATGACTGCCGCCTCCAAGAGCTGGAGGCTGACCATGGTCACCACCATCCACTTCATGATGCCGGTTCCCAACTGGCCACAGAGGAAGAGCCACTCCAAGTCGGGCTGATGCAGTGGAGTGAAGGCCTGAGCACTCCTGCCTTTATACCGCCGGGTTCTAGCCCAGTCCCTTCCTTCCTGCCCCAGGCACCTGACCTCAATCCCAGGTGCACCCTGTGCTCCGCCTATCAGTTGTTTTAGGTGTTTTCCTTCTTTTTTTTTTTTTTTCAATTTATTTATTTGAGACAGAGAGAGCACAAGGGGGAAGAGGGGCAGAGTAGAAGGAGAAGCAGACCCCCTGCTGAGCAGGGAGCCCGATGCGGGGCTCCATCCCAGGACCCTGAGATCATGACCTGGGCCGAAGGCAGACACTTAACTGACTGAGCCACCCAGGCGTCCCTGTGTGTTTTCCTTCTGAGGGTGGCCACTTTTTAAAACAAGCTGTGGAGGCCAAGAAGTGTGAATAATAGGAGTTTCCATAAGATGCACCGGTGAGGATTTCTTCTTGTCCAGGAACAGAGGCATGATGTGACATTTCGGGGCGAGGGCCAGAGTCAGGTCCATGGAGGGCCATAGGACCTCCATAGACAGGTTTCTCATCCTCCGTACTATTGCCATTTTGGAACATATGATTCCTTGTTGGGGGGCTGTTCTGTGCTGTTTAGATGGTTAGCAGCATCCCTGGCCTCCACCCGGGATGCCACCAGCAGTCCAAATGTTATGAACCAACAATGTCTCTGGGCATTGCCAAATGTCCCCTTAGGGGCCAAAATTGTTGAGAATCGCTGGTCTATAGGTGATGCCCTTGGAGATCTGACTCAAGTCCTGGTTCCCAGCATGCCCAAACCTTGTGGGGTGCCATTCGGGTGGCTGGGGGTGATGGGGCCGGTACCTAGGATGATGGTAATACCATGTGGTAGTGAGATGCTGCTGCTCGTAGTGATCCTTAGCTCTGAAGCCGGTGGTGGGGCTGGCGTGCCAGTGGCTGAGGTCAGAGCTATTTGCAGCAGCTTTGGAGGCTTCCCAGTCAAACGGAGTCCCAATTGGACAGTCTGTCCTCATGGTTCAGCAGGTGCTCGGGACACACCCACGATGTAAATCACACTGGCCTCTGGGTGTTCCCCTTGTACAGGTCAGCAACAACAAGAGGCCTGGGGCAGGGCAGGAGGGGACATGCCAGACCTTGCCTCTCTTCCTCGTGGTCTCTCTTCTCCAGCCCCACTGAGATTCTGCCCCTGTCTTTAGTGCTCCTCCAATGCCTGTATCCCCCATTACTGTCCTCCAAGCCCCCATGTGCCCCAGTCCCGCCCCTAAGTCTGGTCCACCCCGTGCCTCTCTCTCATCTCCCGGCCCTCCTTGCTTCCCAGCTACAAGTTTCTTTTTTTTTTATTAAGATTTTTATTTATTTGTTTTACACAGAGAGAGAGAGAGCACAAGTAGGCAGAGCAGCAGAGAGAGGGAGAGGGAGAAGCAGGCTCTCCGCCGAGCAGGGAGCCTGATGCGGGGCTCCATCCCAGAACCCTGGGACCACGACCTGAGCCGAAGGCAGCCGCTTAACGACTGAGCCACCCAGGCGCCCCCCCAGCTACAAGTTTCTCATGGGCTGAGATGACCTGGAGCTGGCCCAGTGCTCACCAGCCCGGCACAGGAGAGCTCCCCAGTTTGGGGTGAGTGGAAAAAGTCCCCAAGCTAAACCCATCTCTGCCACCTTGTAATGCACGTGCAGGGCTCCAAACACTTGTCAGGCCCTCAAGCCCCAGGCAGAAGGCCACAACCAGACCTGCAAAAACTGATATAATCCAGCCAATGGGGGAGATTCACCTCTGGCCAGCACCACCCACTGCCCAGCCAGAGCCCCAGAGCCTCCCCTAGCCCTATGATGGGGGAGGGGAGAGAGGGCACTAGAGGTCTTCCCAGGATTGGCACAGAATGGGATATACCTACCTGATTGTGTCTCAAAGCCAAAGCAGCTCCCATTCCTCCCTGCAGTCCCCAGGGACACGTTGGACTCTAGGATGGAAGGCAAGGGAGTGAGGGACTGCATTCCCTGGAGCAGGGGGTCTGCAGATTTGGAAGGGCAGGCCAAAGAAAGGCATAGGGTTCTTGCAAGCTTGACAAATTCTATGAATATAGCAGAATCCGTGGGATCCCTTAAGTCTTCTGAGTCCTGCCAGGCTCCCCAGCATGGGGCCTCCAGCAACCATTTCTTTATCTGGTAGTCCCTAGGAGTCTCACAGCTGCCAGGCTAACCTTCCCCAAAGCCCAGTGGCCCCACATCCCTTCTGAGCATCCCTGCCCTACTGCTTCAAGCCAGGGCTCCCTTCTTGGCTGCCCAGTCCTCGGGGATCTGCAACTTCACCTCTAACCCAACCTGATCTTCTGATAGCAGCCAGGCTCCTCAGTGTCCTCAGATATTCTAAGCCCTCGTCTATCTCTGGCCTGACCCCCAAGACCCAGTCACTTCTTGGTGGAAAGCCCACTTCTCTCCCATCTACCTGTCCAAATTCTGTCCATTCTTTAATGCCTCTCCCAGATCGGGGGATATGCAGTCTGAGGACAGCTTAGATGTCATCTATGACCGCCTCCTACCAAGGACACCCAGGGAGCCTGACCCACGGGCTCCGCCCACACTTCTCTTCTGCCCCTAAATGCTGCACACCCAGCTGACCCTCTCCCCTTGGTGCTGGATCTCATACACTCTCAGATCAGTCTCCAGTTGTTTCCTGGGGTATGTTTGCCTCCCCCATAGACTAGAAGCTCCCAGAGGACAGAGACGGCAGCTTCCACCTCCCTATGCCTGGTCCAGAGCTCGGGAAATCCTGAACAGTAGCTGGAGCCCATGGAGTTGTTCTTGATCAGGCTAGTTTATCTCCCCCACCTCATTATCTTGGGATTATCCCAGCACTGTGATTTTGCCCCCACACCCCAAAGGGATCTTGTCAAAATCTAGGGTCTGGGATCCTTTCATTGTGATGGTCTCCCCGGAAAGAGGCATTTGCTCAGCACCCTCTGGTCTCATCTCCCTCTGAGCACCACCTGCCTCAAACTCATCAAAGGCCCCTTTTGGCTAAGGAGATAAAATCCCAACTCATCACCCTGGCCTGGAGGACATGCTGAGTCTGGCCCCTTCCCCCGTTTCCATGCTCAGCTTCCAACACTACCCTACACATCCTCTATCCTGTAGGCATAGTGACCGCCTTGCTTTCTCCCAAGGAAGCATGGTATTTGCCAACCTCCACGCCTTTATCCATGGTGTGCCCTCTCTCTGGGATGCCTTCCCAAGCATCAGCACCTGCAAAACCCCCGCCTCCTTCAAGACCCAGTACAAATGCCACGAAGCCTTCCCTACGGTGCCCACCTACACTCAAACTGGCCCCTATAATGGAGGACTTTGCCTTTCCTTCTCTTATGGTATTTCTTTTATACCATCTTCTCTCCCAGTGACTTGTCCCAAATCTTACCACCTGTAACTAAAAGACCAGGTCTCTTCCTGCACATGGCTCCTTCAACAGCTCATTCATTTGTCAGAGTGTCCACAAAAGTCATACTGGTTGCTGGGAATGTCTTGGGAATATGGAAAGGACCAAGGCTGCCCACTGCCACTGCTAATCCTTTCCCCTGGCAGACATCTCTAATCAGACGTATCACTCTTTCTCACAGTGCTGAGCCAAGACCTTAGGATCCTTCCCAATGTAGCGCTCCAGGCAGCCATTCTCAGTCAATCTTTTTTTTTTTAAAGATTTTATTTATTTATTCGACAGAGAGAGAGAGAGAGACAGGAAATGCCTCGGAGCCTGCCACTCCCTCAAGCCCTCAGCGCAGACACACTCCTCCAGGCCGATCTACCAGTAGCGCTCCTGGGTTACGGGGGCCCGGTAGATTGGCCCCCTGCGCAGGCTGTGCTCTATCCCTCCGAATATGAGAACTGCTTCATTCTGAGAGCTCATATCTCTGCGGAAGGCAAAGGGAAGGGTGAATCAAGGAATGGCTATAGAAAAGATTTCCTGTTGAGCATTCACTCTCAAAGGGAAATAGAGGTCCTGCCCTGGCTGCATGCTGAGGCTCCCTGAGGGCAGGGCTGTGTCTCCCCTCAGTCCTGGGCTCCAGGGCAAGGCTGTGTCTACCCCTCACACTAGGCCTGCTGAGGGAATGGGTTATGTCCCCCTTTCTCACTGCAGCTCCACGCTGAGCCCCTCAGAATTCCCAGTGCCTCTGGTTCCAGAGGCAGGGCCTCTGGGGAAGCTGCTGGTTGTGTGGCCCCCACCCCGTCCCATATACCCTTCTTCTCTCCCTTCCACCTCTTGCTACTACTCTTGTATGTCACTGGGAGTTTGACCCTGAGCCCTGCTTGTCATTTTTCTGCTGGGACTGGAGGGAGGTGGGGCCTTGGCAGGGAGGAGGGAAGGATATTCCCTGCTCCTTTCAGCCTTCCCTGGGAGCTGAACCTGAGTGTGGAATTGGGCAGAGCTCCTAAGGGCTAAACTCAGAATGAATTATAATCAGAGGTGAGACTAAGTCAGCAACATTAGGAACAGGGTAACATTGTTGATAGTCAGCCTCAGATGATTAAGGCCAGATAGCAGATGCTGACTATCTCCAGAAGGTGGCTGGCTAACTCTGGAGGAAAGAAAGTCCCTCCCAGGCCACTCACCGTGCCCCCCCCACCTGGCTCCCGGGCCACCCACACTAAACGGCTGCATTGCTTGTATTTATGGTGAGGAAAACACCTTGTTAGGGGCAAATGATGAACCTTGACCAGAAGACTCCAGGATCTGGAAAGAACAATACATCAAAGGAGATGATGCAATAGATTGTACACAAAAGAAGTGTCCAGAAGGCAGTGAGCTAACTGTGGCTCTGGGCAGGAGGTAAATCCAAGAGGTATTGAGAATGAGCAGCCACACTCAAAGCTAAGTTCACCCAGAAGAGGCAAAGATTCTGAAGGACAGACACAGGGATGAGGGAAAGGGTGTGGACAGGGGGACAGGTTCCAAGCCCAGGAGGAAAGTCCTAGACACAGTAGTAGCTGAAGCCAAATGCCTACTGGGAGGCTTCCAAACCCCAAAGCACTGAGCTCACTTGTCTGGGGTCTGGGGAGGATGGGGGGAGTTGCCTGGGAGCTGAGGACCCACCCCCCCCACCGCAAGCAGTTTCTTACCTGCCTAGGTAGAAGCTGAAGACCGGGCTGGAGAGCAGGCCTGCCTGCAGCATGCCCTGCAGGGCCGTGGTGCTCCTACCCTCGGCCAGGGCCGGGTAGGCTAGGCCCATGATGCCATCAAACTTTAGCCGGAGGAAATAGGGATTTGGCTCATGCTCACTCAGGCCAAACTGCTGGTTGGGGACCTGGATGTTCTGCACCTGGAAGGGACACAGGGGATGGGAGGTGACAAGTGTAACTCCACTCATCTTCCTATAACCCTCCTCCACAAAGACCCTTGAGGCTCCCTCGTTCATCCCTCCGTCACCCCTGCCCCTTGCCTTCTTGACACATCTTGCAAGAGCTAGGTTTTCTCTCAAGTGGCCTTCCCCAGCTGCTGCTGCAGCACCCCCACCTCCATCTTCTTCCCCCTGCTCCCCCCCACCCAGCTTTAAGCTCCCTAACCAAAGGACCTGGTCATCCCCTTCATCGGGGTGAGCTCAGTGCAGGCTGGGTGACTGCATGAAGGGGCGCTTGGTGTACTCATCACCGGATTTGTACTCAGTAGAGCCCTAGGGGTTTCTCTGTATTCTCGGTCTCTGGCTAAGCTCCCATCAGACTCAGGTCTGGGAGTTTCCAGGCCAGGTCAGAGCCCCGGGTACAGCTCCCACATCCTGGGGCGCGGAGCGGCCTGCAGCGGGCTCACCCTCCGAGTGTCTAGCCCTAGACACTGCTGAGGCTGCCACTGCCATACTGCACAGAGGAGGCCTGCCCGTTGCTGGAGTAAGTCGAGGACACACCGGGGTTGAAGCAGGAGCGGCCGGCTGCGGTGGGAAGGAGGGTTTGGGGAGGCAGGCTGGTAAGCGGAGGGCTGCTGACCTGAGTCCCAGCATCCCAGGACACATGGTCTCGGGGTGGCCAGCTGAGGGGTTTCCCAGCATGGGAAGGCCCGTGTAAGGCAGCCAGGCTTGGCCTCAAAGCCCCCTCTGACTTACGGAATCTTGGGTTGTCCTTTGACCGTGACCCTTGGTAGGTAGGTTGCCTAGAATCCTTCTCCGTTTCCCTGCCCCCCCTTGCAGATCCCCACCTGAGAAATTACTCATCAGCTGTAGGAGCAAATGAACTTCCAAGGAATCCCTGCATTCCCTCCACCCTCAGCCCGTCAAGAACCTGGCCTGAGATACCTAGGGACATGGCCAATGAGGGACTCTTTGGACAAGAAGTGCCAGGACTCAAACCCTAAGGCTCTGGCAGGGACCAGGGCAGCCTTAAGGAGGGGAACATGGCCTGTCTCCAAATACAACTACAAGACAGGGACCAGATCCTATGTTGCTCTCCCCTGTGTCTAGGAGACAGGCAGCGAGATAACTTAGTAAGCAGTGGAGTGGAATAGGAAGAATGTTGTCGACTTTGGCGGGACAGAATGGTGTGGTCTGCAGGGAAAAGAATGGAGCAGAGCAGAGTGGGATGGACGGAGCAGAGCAGAGTGGGATGGACGGAGCAGGACGGGCCGGCTGGAGCAGGTGAAGGAGCATGTGTTGGTGAGAGGGAAGACAAAGAGACCACCCAGGTCTGGGGCCAGCCTCTTCCCTCTGTCTTGAGCATGACCCTTGACCCTGGCCAAGTCCGTGACTTTCAGGATTGAAGCACCCAGGCCCCACAATCCCGGCCTCGGTCTCCCCTTTCCCCAGGGCTGTCAGTGCCCTCCCTTGCCAACCACTCCCCCTAGGGAGTCCTGCACTTACCACAGGCCTGGCTCTGGCACTGGACCGAGGGCACCCACAGGCTGGAGGAGCCGGTATCAAAAAGGACCAGGAAGTTTTGTGGTGGGGTCCCGATGGCGATTTCCCCAAGGTACAGACTCTGGGGGGCCATGGGGCAGGCTGTTAGCTCTGGAGGGATACCGAGACCCTCAGGCCCAGCCTCCTGCATGGACAGAGACCTTGCCCTACAACCTACCCCAGAGGCAGAGGCCCAAGCCTATCTTCCATACTTGCCCAGAACACACAGACCCTTAGTTGGGGCCAGCAGGTGTGAAAGACGGGAGCAGGCCCCAGGGGCCAGGTGGGAGGGTACAGAGAGGATAGCGCAGCACACCCCCAGGGCCCGGCCTCAGCCTTTGGCACCAATGAGAGGGAATCCCCACGGAGGGTCAGGACTCACATCCAGGTAGGCCAGTGGTTCGTAGACCACACCGAGGTTGCCGAAGTGGTACTTCTGGGTAGGGTCATTCTTGTGGGTCCTCAGGAACTCCCCCAGTAAGCCCTTCTCTTTCATGGTCTCACGGATGGGCTCTAATTTCCTCAGGGGGACTCTGCAGAAGGGCTGGCGTTAGTGTAGGGCCCTCCCTCCTTCCTACAGCACCTCTGACAGTCCCAGTGCCTCTGTCCCTCCCTGCTGTGCCACCTGCAGCCGCATCCCTCAGGCACCCAGCCCCTGTGTCCCCTGTGCCTATCACTGTGTGTCTCTGTGTGTCTCCCTCTCGCTCCCGCTCTAGCTCCACCATCCCTTTCTCTCTGTCCCCATGGCTCTTTCCCTGGGTCTGACCCTCTGTCTCTTTCTCCCTCTCTTTCCTTCAGAGCTCTTCTCAGGACTTGTTCCAAGATTCAGAAAACAAATACCTTCACCCACGCATACCCGCACCCCATCTCGAGGGTCCTTAATGTCCTGGCCATTTGTTCTCAGATAGCCCATAAATTCCTTCCCTGGAAGGGGGTGGGGGGACTTCAGCCATTAGCCTTGGCAGGATAGATGCATTGTCTTTGTGTAGGGCTTGAACTCAGGACCCCGAGATCAACGGTCACATGCTCTACCGAGTCATCCGGCCAGGCGACCCAGGAGATATGCATTTTAAGAAAGATTTCAGAGATGGCAGAGCTCACCCCTACCCTCTCCTATGGTGGGCCTCAGGCAGCTGGCCTCGGCTGAATGTGACACAGTATGGGGACGGACAGCGCTAGACTGGGACTCAGAAGACAGGATCCTGGGTCTGCCCCTGCCTGGGGCCGATCACTGCTCTTCTCCCGACACCAGGCAGGGTGGAAGTTGGCCTGGGTGGTCTGGAGCCCAGATCCGCTCTGGAATTGGAGCTGATGAAGTCTGGGTTTCTGCCCCTGTCTCCCTTGGTTCTCCTCCTCCAAGACCTGATTCCTGCCATTACCTAGGGGGTCTCTGCGGTCCACCCAGGCTCGTTCCAGACTCCAGAAGTCCCACTCCTTTCTTTTCTTTCCCCACCCGATCCCCCACTCCCTCAGGACCCCGCCTTCACCCCCAGTTCTCCACTGAACCCATTCACATTGAGCTACGAAGACTGATGGTTGCTCAGGCTCGCCACCTCTACAGAACTTGGATATTACACACAGGTTTCTGCGAGGAGCCGTGTCTTCAGCGGAGGCATCGGTCCTTACGGATGAGACAGGAGGCACTGTGCAGGCCGGGTGCCCTCCCCATGTCCTGGGAGCCACACCTCCTCGCTCCCTTTCTCCTGACACCTCAGCATGTACACATTACATTCCTGGTGTCTCTGCTTAGATGACTGTGCTATCTGCTAAATAAATAGTGGGCCTTAAGGGAATTTTTAGCAAACGTCTGCCTATCCAGCAATCATCGTCCCTTGCTGGAGGAAGAAAGCACACCTGCCATTCAGGGTCTGTGTGGATAGCAGTCACCCCGACTCTGTCCCAGGTCCATCTTTTCTCATCAGATGGGGAAGCAGCTGTGCTTTTTCCTTTGCCTGGAATTGCAACCATCAGCAGGTTAAGTCCACAGCAAGGCATGTAGCCCATAGTTAAAGATTATTGGGAACACACCAGGATGCTTTGCTTAAGATAATGAAAAGGAAGCCCAAGAGAGCAAGAAATGAATTAGTCTGCCCAATCGCAAGGTGTGTAACCCCTGCTTCTGCTAACAAAGAGAGCATCACTGACACACATTGCTGGGATGTTTTGCAGATCCAGAGCAGGGAAGGGAAGGACCACCCAATCACATTTGATGAAACCAGACAGACCAGGGGTGCCTGGCTGGCTCAGTTGGTTAAGTGTCTGCCTTAGGCTCAGGTCATGATCCCAGGGTCCTGGGATTGAGTCCCTCATCGGGCTCCCTGCCCAGTGGGGAGCCTGCTTCTCCCTCTGCCTGTCACTCCCCCTGCTTGTGCTCACTCGCTCTCTCTCTGACAAATAAATAAATAAAATCTTTAAAAAGTAAAACAAAAAAACAAAAAAAAACCAGACAGACCAGTGCCAGAAAGACAAGTCATTCAATCTTGAGGTTGACCCAATCAATGACCCTTCAGAAGAACCCATGACCTCAAGCCCCTCATCTCTGATTATTTCCCCTTAAAAACCCTCACTTGCAGGGTGCCTGGGTGGCTCAGTTGTTAAGCATCTGCCTTCGGCTCAGGTCATGATCCCAGGGTCCTGAGATCGAGCCCTGCATTGGGCTCCCTGCTCGGCAGGAAGCCTGCTTCTCCCTCTCCCAATCCCCCTGCTTGTGTTCCCTCTCTTGCTGTGTCTCTCTCTGTCAAATAAATAAATAAA